TTGCAGATCGCAAGCAAGATCGAACATCGATGCTGTGCTGAGAGCGGTCCGCATCTTAAATTGCTGCGTATCTCAAATTGCTGCGCATCTTGAATTGCTGTGCATACTAAATTGCGGCTGCGGCTATTGATTTAGCTGTTTCTGAAGGAATTACTGGTGCTGTTGACTGCACGTCGCTTCTGCAACCCAGGCCTGCCACATGCGGTTACCTCGCTCCTACAATGGGAGCCGCGTTTAAGTTTGTTTAGCGTGATGAAAATTATGGAGCCGCTTCCAGTAGCCAGCACCAGCGTGCATTTGGGAAAGGGCTTTGCTCAACCCAAAAAGTAGACACAGCCCCAAAATATCGGAAAAAAGAAAACACTGTCGGCAAATTCGAACAATCCACATATGGACAGGCAGGTGGAAGTGGCAAGGAGGAGGAAGTATATAAAAGCGGGGAAATAATTGAATCCGGGGACCAGTTATACATAAAGCTAACAATCCCTCTACACCGGTGTACAGCGACTGTCAATTGAAGGTTGTACGCGGCCCAGCGTTACGACGCCTTCGCATGNCTCTACACCGGTGTACAGCGACTGTCAATTGAAGGTTGTACGCGGCCCAGCGTTACGACGCCTTCGCATGGCCACTCCTGCCGTTGGTGTGGCGACGCCAAACAGTTCTTGTACACGTTTCGGACGTTTGTCTAACAAACGTCCCACAAACACTCAACAGGTCGTCGACCTCCCAGCCATGGAACGTATTTGTCCTCGTTCTCAGCGACCTATCAGGTTCGTTACACGTCTTTCGAGGGACTTAGTCACTTTCAGGTACTCCATTTTGTAGTAATGGTGCATCCATTTTGCGGGGAGAGTTCGGGGAACTCCCGGCGATTCGTTGAACCCTTTAGAAGACTGCCACTAGTGGTTTGGTGGCATCTACACGTTGATGGTAAGTTACGATGTGTACAGTGTAGGTTACCACTAACCACAGCAAGACTGGTCAACGCGTGGGCTTAGATTGTACGCGCGAAGGAACCCACACAAAGCACGAAAACTGTCTTCGGTGCCCGCCCTACAGAGCGCTTTGTAGCGCATGGGAACCAAGTACAACGAATTTGCCTGAGTTGAAATCGACTGCTGAGTTTCTTGCTTGGCAGGAGCAATGAAACTGGCAGCCCCGATGACGACTGCCGCTTCGGGTCAGCTGCATCTGGATTCAATGGAATAAACAGCCGAAACAGCGTCAGTTACGCTCGATCCGGAACAAAACAAACGCTACGATCTAAGCTTCTACCTTTACTGGTAGCTGCAATGGCGGCCGCTGCTACGGGGTGGTGATGGACGGCTCCAATATAATAGCAAACCGAGCAACCGTCAACTGCGCNGCGGCCGCTGCTACGGGGTGGTGATGGACGGCTCCAATATAATAGCAAACCGAGCAACCGTCAACTGCGCTAGGCCTCGAATAAACAAAATGACACGCTGGGGCCTAAACTTCAGTCTTAACAACAACCGTCAACTGCACTTGGCCACGAACAAATGAAACTCTGGGGCCTAAAATTTAGTCTTAGCCATGACATCAGGTCTGGACGCCTCAAACCGGGCTTTCAGTAAGATAGCTTTCACGCGGCGACCTTGGGTTGCAGCCCAATGCACACTTTGCGGAAAGTGCGATCAAATATACCGGCCTTCAAATTGGTTGCTGCTACACACCCGAAGAAGCTAAAGAAGTCAAAATGCAACATGGCTATTCAGGCTGCCTACCACTCGAGCAATGCCTAGGAGCCCTTGCTTGGTCAACGGCATTCAGATGGAGAGGGAAAGTCCCTCCTGAACAGACTGAGATGCAAGCAGGTACCAGGACTACACCCTGGAACAGCGAAAACAGCGAAGTCTGTCTGGAGAGATGATGCAACACGCAATTTAAGTCATCCACTGCCCAAACAAAAGCCGGGAAGGTCTAAAGCTCGCGATGCTGCAGTCACCTACAGCGCTTCGCTACCCTCATGCCGCCGCCCACCGGCCTCAGTGTTGTCGGTGCTGAGACAACACCACAATTATAGAAAGCAAAGCAATCCAACACAAGAGAAGTAGTCAAATGTAGCGAAAAACGTGCGGAAAGTGGCAGTTCCGAAGACATCCGTAGCACGGTAGACTGAAAATGAGGGGACCGTACAAAAACAAAACTCACCGGCCTGTTCCACGGCCTCGAGTGGCATCTTCGCCTAGCTCGGCGGATTCGCATCCACTAGTTGGGCCGTGCTCCAGATTTGCTCTTTTGCTGTCTCCGCCCTTGTTCTTTCCAAATGTAGACTTGCCCCAACTGCATATTTTGCTCCACGCCTTGTTGCCAGGACCCGAACTTGAGGTTGCTGTAATTTGCTCTTCGCTGGTAGGTTGACGGACCGACGCAAACCTTCTTACACCTGCAACAACACTCCAGAGCAGTGGAACATGAGACAGTCTTCATCCAAACATAAGATAATACACACACTCTGTAAACGAGAAATAGTACAGCAGCCCGTTCGCCAAAAAGCTGACGGACTACAGAACATGGATTTATTTTGAGCAGGCTATTTGAAAACATTCATACGGCGTAGCAGACGGGAGAAAATACTGAGAACCTGACAACACAGTCCTATTTCCAAGCGAGACACAACAGCAACACGTAATTTGCTCGTGAGGAACAGTGGAGAGTGAACTTTGAAGTAGTAGNCAAGCGAGACACAACAGCAACACGTAATTTGCTCGTGAGGAACAGTGGAGAGTGAACTTTGAAGTAGTAGGTGTTCGCCTTCATTGTGTCATTTGAGTCGTCTACTTGTAGGCGCCCTACCAGGCCTATTCAAAG